GCACCACCCCATAGTGAGCCCAGCCCTTCCACATCCATCACCGATCAAGAAAATGTCCACAGGCCAGTCGGATGGGAGCATCTCCTCAACTGAAGTTTCTTCTTCCCAATGACTCCAGCTTGCGTCAAGTTGCCATGAAACTAGCCAGCACCGCCTCCCTCTGAGGGGTGTCTGCTAGTGTAGTATAAGATTCTGCATTGAGCTAGACTGAGCACGGGAGAAAAGAACTCATTGGGTACGATGGCATTGCAAGGTGGCACATGTGTGCTGCAGAGTGTACGAGGTGCCATCGAGCAAGAGAGTGGAGGAGGCAGGGGTCAGGGGGAAGGTGAAGAAGGTTCCAGAAGCTGTGCTGAAGCCTCAGTCCTCCACTGAGGCTCCACAGGCAGCCTCTGACAGCTGCCACGGAAGGGTGGCCTTGCTGCAAAGCTGTGGTTCTTTGTGCAAGGTCATCATGACTTTTGTGCGAGGCTATGGCTCGAGAAGAGGCTTTGGTGACAGTTATTGTCATCAAATAAATACACACAGTGATCATCTTCATAGATGTCTCCACTCGGGTAAGTCTATCGGAAAAGATACTGAATTTTAACCCTTGTTGTGCAGTAGAACCAGGTGGGACCTTGAAGTTTGATAATCCTAGGCCTAGACCTGTAATGCCAGCTACTAAAGAAACTGGGACAAATTCAAGACCTGCCTGAGTCACAGAGTGAGTTCAAACCAACCTGGACAACTTAGCAAGAGAGACCTGGTCTCTAAATAAAACATTAAAGAGAGGATTGGGGACAGAGCTGAATGGCAGGGTGCCTGGTAAGCATTCTTAGGCCCTGGGTTCAGTTACCAGGACTGTGGAGAGAAAGAGGGTGGGGATTAGAACATAGATGACTGGGTAAATGAGTTATCTCAAGAATAGGTATTTTGGGAGCCAGGTGCGGTGTTGCACACCTTAATCCTTGCATTCGGGAACACCTTTGAGTTCCAGGCCAGCCTAGTCTACAGGGTGAATTCCAGGGCTACACTGTCTCCTTTAAAAAAAAAAAAAATAGGCCTGTTGGTCCAGTGAGATGAGATGGCTCAGTGGCTAGGGGCACTTGCTGTCAAGCCTGACAATGCAAATTCAATCCCTGAAACTCTCATGGTGGAAGGAAAGAATTGACTCCTACCAAATTGTCCTTGGATCTCCACATACACACCTTGGTAGGTGAGCGTGCGCGCACACACACACACACACACACACACACACACACACACATGCACCTACACAACCATAATTCATTTTAAGAAGAACGGGTCTGTTAAAGGTGCCGCTCAGTGTCTGCTATGTGTCCCTCTCCCTCCCCGAAGCCCCGGCCTGACTGTGATGAACCTCCATCAGCAAGAAGGCTCTTTCCCAGGCCGGGCGTTGGTGGCGCACGCCTTTAATCCCAGCACTCGGGAGGCAGAGGCAGGTGGATCTCTGTGAGTTTGAGACCAGCCTGCTGGTCTACAAGAGCTAGTTCCAGGACAGCCTCCAAAGCCACAGAGAAACCCTGTCTCGAAAGGCTCTTTCCCAATGCAGCCTCCTAACTTGGCCCCCTTAGACTTCAAAACACTAAGCCAGATAAACCTTTTTCCTAAGAACGTCCCAGTCTCCAATAGTATGCACTTGATCTTAGCCAAAAGCTCAAGAAGCAACAGAAAGCAGACTAAGACTATGACTCCTGGGCTCTGTTAGGGTTTCACAGAAGTGACTCCATTTCGATCTGACAACTTCCTGTTAACACACACACACCACGGACCCACAAAGACCAACAGTACTTCTCAGAGATGTTGGGGAACATTGTCCTGGCCATGACACGGCCACCACCATCTTGAAGGCACAGCAGCTCTAACTGCCCACACTCATGAGACTTTGGAGCATCTCCAACAGTCCCTCACCTGAGATGCCAGCCGCTCCCTCCTGTGTGCTCCCCTTCTTGCCATTTTCGCATAATCCTGTCCACCGGCATTCATTCGGCATTCGAGGAGGGCTGGAGTACATAGGAGATGGAAACTTAGCTGGAGTGGGGGGAATTCCATAGATAGAGGTTTGGGGGAGACCTGTACCTACACTGGAGCCGGACTTGGATTGATGCAGCTGTAACCTTTCACCCTTGCTTCTGTGAGGAAACCCAGTAAGCTCATTGGTTCATCCAGCTGGACTGGGGTGCGTTGTTTCTTTGGCCGAGCCCTCTCTGGGGTGGCTAATGTTTGCTCACATCGCCCCAGGATTGTGTGATGATGGTCAGAGGACCATCTCAGGTGTGAGTCCTCAACTTCCACCCTGTTGGAGGTGTGGTCTCTTTGCAGTTCACTCTGCAGCACACCAGGCCAGCTGGCCTCCAAGCTTCGGGGTCCTGTTTCCACCTCGTGTGTTGCTGAAGCAGGGCTGGGATTACAGGCTCTCTTGGCACACATCCTACTTTTTCATTTTTTTTTAAATTGAAATCATTATTTAGGGAGAGGTGGGGCACTCATGTGCCATGTGTGGGAGGTCAGAGGACGACTTTGTGAGGTAGGTTCTCTCCTTCCGTCTTGTAAGAGTCCTAGGGGCCAAACTCAGCTTGCCAGACTTGCGAGGCAAGAAGCATTTCACCCACTGATTCTTCTAACTGACCACACACCCAGCTTCTTATGTGGGTTCTGGAGATCGAACCCCGGTCCTCACACTTGTGTCAAGTACTTTTACCCACTGAGTCTCCTCGGCAGTCATGACGGTCACTCTTCAATATAAATTTGAAGTATCTGGCTTCTATGGTTTTGGTTTTGGTTTTGGTTTTTCAAGACATGGTTTCTCTGTAACAGCCCTGGCTGTCCTGGAACTCACTCTGTAGACCAGGCTGGCCTCGAACTCACAGAGATCCGCCTGTCTCTGCCTCCTGAGTGCTGGGATTAAAGGTGTGCGCCACCGACACCCTGCAACTTTTCTGTTCTTTAACGGGGAATCGTCCTCTGTTACATCTCGGATCTGAAGAGGCACTCCTCCACTGTCCAAGCCCTGAACTACAGAGGTGAGCGAAGAAGGGCCATTGTCCACATCCCTGTAAGCCCAAAAGTCCATGAGCGGCAGGGGCTTTGTCCTATGCTTCCCGGTGTCCAGCCTTCTGCCTATCATGGTGCAGGTCCCAGAATGCTCTGCAGTGAGAGACTGAAATATATTAAGTGAATGGGTGAATGAAGGGGTGGATGGTTGAGTGACGGTTGGATGAATGAATGAATGAATGAATGAATGAATGGGCAAATGAATGAAATCTGCCTTTGGGCTAACCTGCCCCAGGCAGCAAGGAGAGACAACAGGGGAGAAGGAAAAGAAAATGAGAGAAGAGACAGGCCCATAGGAGGAGAAAACTGCTTCTGCCTGGACACTTGGCACTTGGGTCTTCCCACAATCAGTGACTCACACAGGAAGCAGGGCTCTCCTTCCCCTGCCCGTCCCTCCTTGCCCACCGCCTAGGTTAGTCACTGAACTAAACCCATGTGCCTTTGCTGTTTGTGGGCCCAGCACTCTATTTTTGGCCACAGCCTCCCCACTTCCCACTCAAGGCTCTTGAGTCCTATCTGCACAGTCCAGAGCCCGCTGCCTTTTCAAGTGGAAAGAGCCATCGGGAGGTTTGGGGCTGAGGCCTGGGACAGAGCTGAGAGCACACCAGTGCTCTGTGCGCACCATAGATCCTAGGGCCCCTCCCCCAGACTTCCCCAACACTGGGGAGCCTGGCTTTGGGTTTCACATCCATCTTTGTATGTTTCTTCCCCCTTTGTGTCACACAACATTAGGACAGGAAGCAAGAGAACCCCGGCGTTGGTGGCGCACGCCTTTAATCCCAGCACTCGGGAGTCAGAGGCAGGCGGATCTCTGTGAGTTCGAGGCCAGTCTGGTCTCCAGAGCGAGTGCCAGGATAGCCTCCAAAGCTACACAGAGAAACCCTGTCTCGAAAAAAAACAAACCAAACAAACAAAGCAAAACAAAAGAACAAAAAAAAAAGAAGACGAAGCAAGAGAAGTATCTGGGAGGAGTCATGGGTGTGCATACCACAAGCGCCTACCCATGGGAGGGGGTTCATGAACTGAAATCTAAAGAATCCAGGCTGGGGAGGACTCTCATGCGGATGCCCTAGGTTTAGATTCCCCAACACTGCAAATATCGGGCAAGGTGGTACACACCACGTAGATAGAGGTGGGAAGACCAGAAGTTCAAGGTCAGCCTTGAACACAGCAAGTTCAAGGCTAGCCTGGGCTATAAAGGATCCTGTCTTTAAAAAAAAAAAATCCAAAGAAGTCATGAATAAGATCATCTCTCCACTCTTTGGAGGTGACTTACCCTTGAAGTTGCTTCTAGAGCAATGGGAAAAGTTATAAGAAAAATTACTGTGTCAGATATGGTTTTTAAGCCGTCGGTGGCTGCTGCAGGCTGGAAACACAGTCCCCTTTGGATTCAATTTTTAAATTACCCTGGTAAGAAAAGACTGTTGTGTGTTCCATCGGGGAACAGCGGTTACAACTAACCTTCTCCAACGCAGTGGTGACACACCCTGCCCAAGCCCTTGCACCCCAAGACTCCTCTGATTTCAAAGCTGGGCTTTAATATGGAGGGCTATGGGTATACAGCAGACATCATTTAAGTCATTTTCTTCTTCTCCCTTTAAGAAGATATTTTAAACTTTATTTCATCTTTTACCTAAGAGTCCAGAGGAGCTTGCCCCTGACCTTGGAGCCATGAGCTAGGTTCCTGTCCTCAGAGCTTGGCTTCAGTTCTCTGTAAGATGGGGGAGCTGGTGTTTTGTGCCTCCACGACTCCCTATCCTACGCATTCTCATGGTTCCTTGCTGGTTCTCCACAGCCCACAGAGATCACCGATGTTCCTGCTGGGCGGATGCTACAAAGCTAACACCGGTACCATTCTATACGAACCATGTCACTTCCCAAAGCTCCAAGGGATGCAGCGGCTACATCTTCCACACCCAGAAGCAGAATAGAATGCAGGCTAAGAGGAGAGAGCCAGTGGGACATGTTTCTGTCCCCACAGAGCCTTGGTTCTTGCTCATCTTGAGTGAAGCTAGCTCAAACCATGACTTTGAAGGCAGCAGCCTGCTGGGAGCTCAGGAACCTGGTGGTCACTATTGAGGGGATCAGGGGACAGGCAGTCACAAGTGAGGGTCAGAGAGGCCTTCTCTGGGCTTCCGGACCTCGCTGTACTCGGCTTTCTGGTCCTGAGGCAGGCAAGGGGAATTCCCGTTGGCATGGGAACCCTGCCTCTGTGAGTCAAATGCCACTGATGCATAGTGAAGCTCTTCCTTGGGGAACATCTGTGGGGAGAGACCCAAGACTCAGAGAAGAAGAGTACACATACCCTTCAACTGCCCAGAACTAGACTCACTGGCCCACCTGGTCAAGCCATAGTGGGAAGTCCCCATGCTGGGTGTATCTTGGCCAGCAGAGGTAGCCACAATGGCACAACAGTTCTAGGTTTACTAGCTCTGCTTGGTCACAGGCTTATTTGTAACACAGGGAAAGGGAAGTTAGCTTCCAACCCATTTTGCAATCATTAGCCACCAGGTGATGCCAGTCTGTGGAATAATAATCCTTTTGTACATTGTGAAGATGTGCTGCTTTCATTGGTTTAATAAAAAGATAACTGACCAATAGGTAGGTAGGAAGAGGTTGGGTGGGAAAGCCAGACTGAAAAACGCTGAGACGAAAGAGGGTGGAGTCATGGGAAGTGGCCAGCCAGATGCAGAGGGAGCAGGATGTGTAGAAAATGAGATAACAAGCCACAAACCCCGAGACAGAGCACTGGCTGCTCTTCTAAAGGTTCTGAGTTCATTTCCCAGCAACCACATGGTGGGTAGATCACAACCATCTGTAATGAGATCTGGTGCCCTCTTCTGTTCTGCAGGCATACGTGCAGACAGAATACTGTATATACAATAAATAAAGAAATCTTAAAAAAAAAAAAAAAGAACCATGCAAGATGGTTTCTCATTTTAAAAATAATAATAAATGCATGATTTAAGTTGTAAGAGCTAGTTAGTAGCAAGCCTAAGCTATCAGCCCAGCATTTATCATTAATAGTTGGTCTCTGTGTGGTTATTTGGGAGCTGGCTGGTGGGACAAAAACTTCTACTGACAATACCAGGCTGTTGCCAGTCCCATAGCTGAGAAGACATGAGGTTGTGTCACTTGGTGAAGGAATGGGGCTTACAGACACACTGCACCACCTGAGGAACTAGAGATAGCCAGCTGCTTAGAATGAGGACATCAAGGTCCCTGCCCACACCTCATTCTCAAAAGACACTGGCATGGGGCTGGAAAGATAGCTCAGCGGTTGAGAGCACTGGCTGCTCTTTCAGAAGACCTGGGTTCAATTCCCAGAACCCATATGGCAGCTCACAACTGTCTAACTCCAGTTCCGGGGATCCGACACTCTCACACAGACACACATGCAGACAAAACACCAATTCGTGCAAAATAAAACTAAATGAATCATTAAAAAAAGACACTGTCACAAGTGAGGGGAAGTCATAGCTTGGGGGACGCAGAATGGATACCGGACTGAACCCCTCCTTATTCCTCTTGTGGAGCAGGGTCAGCAGCCTGGATTGAATGGGGCTGAGTGGACACATTCAGGAAGGTGGGCCACGTTTTCCAGAGCAGTGTATGTCACTCATCTCCTGCTACCAAACTATGACATCCCTCAGGGCACCTGAGGAGGGTTCAGTGGGCTCTGAGCCTGGGAGGGGGTCTCCTCAGAAAGCCTTTGATGTTTATTTCTCTCTCAGCTTCTGTTTGACCCTGCCTGTGACATGGCCGGTCACACCCAAGGAGGCCGCTTGCCCCATTCTCCTGTTTGAAGGTAATGGAGTCTGAGGCTTGACCACACCTCTAAAGAAGAGATGAGGGGACCAACCTAAGGAAAAACAGCAGGCTCTGACTTATTGACTGTCAAGACCTTAGATACTGGCCACCCCTGTAATCCTACTCCCTACTCCTAGCTACAGTGGCACATGCCCCTTCCAAGGGTCTCCACTCACCCCGTTTCTATACTGCCACCCTGAGCCAGGGCCCCATCCCCTCTCTGTTCTCCCCCACCCTGTGGTACCCTTCCATGGCCCACCATCCTCATGCTAAGGGAGTCAGGGTCTCAAACTTACCACTGTGCTGTATTCCACCTCCACCTGACTCGGTGGCTCCGGCTCTTCCCTCAGGGGCCACGTGTGCAGCTGCAGATTCACATATTGGCACTCGCTCTGCTCAGCAGCCTGCA